GGAAAAACAAACGACGTAGTGCAAGAAAATACAGTTTATAATTTGGTATGGCGTCTGAACTACGCATTTGTAGGCAGCGAGTCACATGTACGAGTATTTATGTCCTCGCATACTGGGTGTACTATGTCGCAATCTAAGCCATAAATTGCATTAACCTCCAATAGTCTAATTGAACGTACCGGATCAATTTCAATAACTACCTTCTACTTCATTTACCCTTTTCTAAACTATTTTCTATCATAAACAAACATTGAACCGGTATTTTTAATGTCAAACAGACTATACCACAAATAACTGGTTTTTAATGATGGATCGTTTGCATATAATGGCAATTTTGTATTCATTAGTACCTATTACTTACTGTACATAATATGTACCAATCTAAAACAATAGACGAAAACAACATAAAAAACGTAAACAATTACAAGTTGCAATAAAAACTGCAGTCATGAAAATGCCTGCTCCTATTTAATATTTTATGGACTACCAATAAAAATAATTATGATACAAAATGTACCTATAGGTAGGTATTTCAAAAATGTTGACTGTTTACAAGCTAGCTTAGTTACTCTTCTAATTAAATCATCTGGATAGATCTGTGTTAACTAAATATTAATATCATTTACTTTGCCGTAAAACAGTCGTAATTTTTATACATGATTGTTTAGGCTTTAATGAAATCGCCAAAAATAAAGGCAATTGTATAGTAACTATCGTGGTATATAATCATTTTTAATTAATTACTCGTTTGGTTTCAAGTAACATTAGGGGCTTATAATAATATTTTTATAGGAAATAATTTGAATAAATTTGAAATATAGGTTTCGTTTGATATGAAGTTGGAATTTATTTTTTTATAATGGTTTGAATTAAATTTAAATATTTGTTGCATGCAAGCCATAATAATGTTCTCAGTTACGTAATCAATGACTTAATGACAGACAAACGATGACTAACGTTTATTCAGTTTTACATAATAATATTTATTTTATGAGTTAAGCGATTTTATGGTTATTGTCAGTTGAATGCAATTACCTTGTTTCGTAATACTGTTCTGATAAATTATAAAAGTGTGAAATATAGATGCGGTTAGTGAGAAATAATGAAAATAATGTTCGCAAATGTAACGTACCTCAGATTGTATGGAGATTTCACACAGATTTAAAAAAAAATGTTAAGTGACTTATTTGTCTTTCTGGTGACTTGTTAGATTAACATAGTATATACTTAGCAATTGCCATTTATATGTACCTTCTTCATTTCATAGAATAGAGCAGAAATGAGAAACTTTAAATTAATAAATTCACCATTGAAAAAACAATTTTGAGACTTCGGGTTTAAGAGTTACATTTGCAACCACCGAACCTATGAAACATAATAAATAATCCCATAAAATCTATGACGCTTTCCGAATGACATACTCAATGATTTTATCCATTAAATCGGTCGGTCAAGTAAATCCCATGAGATCACTGTCATAAAGTCGTACATAAAATCATATAAAGAAACCATTATGTAATCGTCATAGAAGATTACAGTTATAAACATCTATTGCACTGGGTTATGACGTGCCGCATTATGTCATAGTTATGAACAAAACTATGGTATAACAATGCACGAAATATTTGGTATAAGTTGCACCAGAATTTGCACGTGTAAGGTTAAACGCGTGCACAGTTGCAGCACTTACAAATCTATGTTTCAGAAGCAAACCGATTTGACGGACATTCTTGTTCATGTTAGCATTTGACGGGTTATTTCGGATCACTTCTTAGACAAGTAAAATGCAAAACGTGTTGAACAATTTTCTGAGGAAAAATATTAATAGTGCTGACTCTGGAAGTTATCAATTCCCATGGTACGTCCTGTTTTAATTTGGTCTCATTATGATATATCTTACAAGGAGTCTTGGAATGAATGTCACCTTGTTAGATATCCTGTAGGTAATTGATACCTATGGAATGAACTGCTCTTGGAAAGACACCAATTGATTTGACAGGAATAATTATTTATAATGTCGTGGTGGAGGTTTAAAATGCCCTCTTCTCATACATGAGGGCGCGGGCTCGAAACCTACAATCATTCTAAGATTATATAGACACCACTGACAAAAGATGACACCTGGACTTGTAATTTCTAATTATAAGTTTGTGATCGCCAACGCGAATTGAGCAAGCTTGGTGATTAATGCTCAAACCTTCTCCGTGTGAGAAGAATCATTTATGGGCAGTTGTTGATGATGATTATAATGATGTGTGTTGTCACATCTGCTAATCTGTTCTTAAGGTGAAGTGGTTTCAATTGAAAAACATAGTACTTCTATTTCTTATTTCCATAGTAAAGAAAACATCACAAGTACAGTACAATAAAGTTAAAAGCAACAGTTTGATGTTTGTGGCGAGTCTTATCGATGCGTATTGTTGAATATTATTAAAAGCTGTTACTATAACTAAAAGTACTGCTTCGATTAGACTGATTGTTGTACTTAACGTAACTTAGCTTTGTAGTTTTGAAATGTTAAGCCTAAACAAATGGGCTACCTAAGCTAAGTACATTGCTTAGCACCTTACTTAGTACTTTCTAACTAGGTGTATGTATATTTGATCGACCATTTTTTAAATTAATAGTAATGCATCGCACGTAGCTACAATTATTACTGGATTACTGGTGTAAAACTAGCTGTTACCTGCGTCGAATATGAGTTTTAAGATGTAACCTATTTCCTATTTTTGTTTTGTTTTTCAAAAATAATAATAGCCTATGTTACTCCTTAGTTACACAGCTACTGGCAGGTAGCTGTGTAAAAGTCTTGTCAAAATCGGTCCAGCCATTTTAGAGATTAGCCAGTACAAACAGATAGACAGACAGAAAAAATATTAGCATTTAGTACAAAGCGGTTATTTCACTATTACAAACATACACTGAAATTTTATTTATCTGTATTGATATTAATTAATTGTAAAAAAAATGTCATTAAGAAATTAATGATTAGTAGATGTATTAAAATATCGTTGCAAAACATTTTATTATAAATGTGTAAAAAACTGAAAATGAACTTCTCCTGTAAAATTTCAGCATCGAAATAATGTGCTATATTTTAATACTATGCATTCTAAATACTTAAAACATATTATTATAAAATACAATTAGCAAAATGATGTCAGCAAATTATTAATAATTTACATCATCGTATTCATACCTTTATTTACCTGACCTAATGAATATTATTACCAGTAAATTCAAATTGGTCATTAAAATAGTTAGACGTTGACGAACAGTTAGCAAGCACATGAAGCTACATTTTTCTGACAAATATCGTCAGTAGATTTGAAACTTTAAGCATAAAGTGATAAGGTTGTAAATCAATTAAATATAAATTATAGTAACTTGATCTGCTGCTACGAAAATTTGTAAAGAAATAAATATTTATAAGACTTACCAAGTAAATCGTGTCTTTGTGCGAAACTAAGTTAATGATACATTGACTGTTCACTTAAAGTATTTAGATCAGATATATAATAAAATGCGCAGTGAACACAAAAGCTTATGTGCGCAGTGTTTCGTAGGTCAGTTACAACTATATGATTGAATCAGCAGCGCATGTGATATGCGCTCGTAATTACAGTCCCACTAAAGTACTGCTTGAGCGGACCGGATCTTGATTTATTGCGATTGTTATTGATTAGCCATTTATTTTAATATTCTACTCGATTGTACTGTGTATCTTTGTACCCAGTATATATTATGTCTATGTGTTTATATGGAAATTGAGAGCACTATGTGACGTTTGTATTAATAGGGCAGGTAGAGATGTACATAGGGAGAGATACTCACATAATAAATTCAAATTTGATTCATATTGCATTCAAATTGTCACTAGTTTCATTTGTATTGCAAAGTTGTATCTCCTGACTGAATGCTTCAATCTCTCTCAATACTAAATTCTTGGTAGTCATGAATATTATTCAGGTTGGAAGTTATATGTACAAATGTATGCAGTCAGAAACTGTTTGCATTCCCTTTAAATGAATTGGCTATCTGCCGTATGGAAGAAGTAGGTTTTTAGCTATTTAACGACAGATAGTACTCAAATAAATCAGTACGAGCACGTAATTAACAGTCCACGATATCTTTCACAATTTCCCGACGATTCAGCATAGTACATTATAAGTCACGCGATAAAATCTTGCTAAGCAGAGAGGTTCAATACTTATCTATTATTAAAATAATAGTACCTAATAGTATTTCTTAGTATTCTCATTAAGCACTTTATTATCATGACTAAATATTTATGGATTATCCCATTGTAAGTAATTAGCTAAATAATGACAGTGACATTTTCAAGTTTATTAATAATTATACATTCGTCGTTATCGCGATCTCATGATTTCTTCCGGTTGTACTTGACCTGAGAGATGACTTTTACCATAATTATGTTTAGTATAGTGATAATTGTACATTGTTGTGCATTTACTACGCTACTGATAATGTTAAGGCGCAATACTGATTGTGTTGTGTTCACATTTTGTAGTAACACTTTTTCCAAAAATTACTTATACGGAGGACTGTGAGATTAGGCACAGTTTGTGTTTATAGAATAGAATTTATAGAAAATGTATGTTTATTTCAATATGTTCACCCCCTGTTATATGGGACTCATAATGAAAAGTGGGTATAACATTGTAATGTAATACCCACTTTTCATTATGAGTCCAAATGGTGCAAATTATGCCTGTACTACTGTACTGTAGTACAGTGGCAAATTATGCCACTGTACTACTCCTCCTCTGCCTACCCCTCCGGGGATAAAAGGCGTGATGTTATGTTCTTTGGTTAAATAAATATACCATTATCAATTAAAAATAGAATTATCTTTGTGAATGTAAGTATTTGTATTATGTAATATGCCAGCCACCATAAGAGCACTGTAAAGTACATTAACTCTAGCCTTAGACAAGACTAAATATCATTTAACCTAGGTAAAGACATAAAACTCTTACCTTTTCCGTTTTTCTTGATAATCGTTTAGGAATGAAATTCGAGATCTTCGATTTTCAATAGGCGACTAACTTATTTTTCCACGATTGTTATTTCCTATCTGTATTTTTTTTACAAACGTCACTTTTTTATAGCAAATTTTAAACTTCAATTAAAAACATGCACTATAGGTATGTTGTGTTTCCGAAGACAACTGACAGATGAATAAAAAAGAAATATAAAACAAAATCACCTTTGTACTCGCGGCTTGTTGTAGGTACTTAAGAACTAGATATAGGTCTACCTAGGTACTAATAACTTGGTAACTGCTATAAATTACAGTGCAGTTTTATGTTATTTCACATGTTTTGTTTACGTTTTTTTTCTACTGGGTTTTTTCCAGTGATAATTTATTTAATGAAAAATCTTGTCTTACTTCTGATCTACACAATAGGTAATGATTGTTGTTTGGTTGTGCTTAGAAACCATGTAACTGAAGAACTCTATATTAAACGATATTACCCAGATTAATTAATGACACGTGCTCACCATTTAATGTACTAACAGTCATTATTTCAGAAACCTACTTCTTACATGATATAAACTAAAAAAACTATACCGTATATTAAATTAATTAGATCCAATTATAAACATACTTGGTAAATAATAAAAATAATAGGAACAAAAAATACGAAAATATTTTTAACCCTTCAATGTGAGTGCACTAAATATTACGCTCGGTACGTAACTACAGCGGTCCTCAAGGCCGGTAATAAAACGCGGACTACGTCGTTAGTAATTGAAGTAAAACTATTAGTTTCGTTTTATAAGTTCGTGAGACAAATACCTGAATAGTTATTAAGTGTCGAAGGCAACTAATTAATTGGAAATCTTTGGTACAACAAGTTCCTTGAGGAATGTTGAATGCCGAAGCGTGACGGTATGTCGTTAACATCTATATGAAATACCATCACGCATTGTCTCTGCCGGAGTGCGCAGAGATGTTTAATTAAATAATACATGGAATACTGTGTGTAGTTATGTTGATATACATTAATATATATTGTCAATCAAGG